GGTGACTTTTGGTTTATAGGTTTTTCGTATATACGGATTTATATTTTGGCCAATACACAAACGAGGACAATCATTAGTATCACATTATTGGCTCGAACAGTGCGAATTTGAGGATCAAACAACCATAACAGAGGGTATTGTACTTCGGACGCCATTGTGAAAAAACGCGTTTTATCTTGACCGTATGATGACTTTTGGTAGCCACTGTACATCGTAGCGACGCCGTTTTCGACGGCACATGGTTTGCTTTCAAGATCCATCGATCCAGGTCGTCATGGTAGCTGCTCTCGTCTTCCACTGCCGTCGTAGAAGCGTGCGCAATCGCCGCCGCTTCCTTCGTTGCCATGCCAACTCTGTGTCGAGGCCAAGTGGTGCATCGCGGTTGTGTAATATCCGGATAAAAGGATCAGATGTGTTAATACGCATATATTTCTCTACATACGATCTTCAACTGTGAAGGATTCCACCAACATCGCTTTTATTTCTTGAACTCTATCTAAAATTTCATATATATTGCTCTTGTAAGTATGCACATCGTCTTCAACTCGACTTGGCGGTTTCGCTCAGAAGAGCATGCTGGGTGGCTGATGCAGCAGGATGCGACGAAAGAACGAACGGCGGGCAAGCGGAAGGCTGGGGCGAAAGCAGCACAGCTGTCCCCCCTTGTGTTGCCCAAGGGCCATGCGTCTGCGTGTGAGGACAACAACGTCCTTGCGGAACACCACGAATTCTTCCAACGCTTGTGCAGTAGCAGCGACACGATGCCGTCCTTGCCACATCCGTCCATTGCGTTGAGTTCCGCACTGATGGAGGACGGTAGTGCATACTGGCGCCGAGTTGCATTGAGGGTTGTGCATCACCTGAAAGCCGACGAAGTCGTTCGACAGCCCTGTGTCCATGCCGCCCAGCTCTTGCTCGTGTTCTACTTGAGCTGCGATGCTTGGTATGGGCCGATACTAATCCTCGAGGGGGTGGTTCCAATCCTACTACGCGAGTTTTTTCGATGTCGCGCCGCCTTGGAAAGCTCCGGCGACGTGGGAGCTGTACATGGCGCGGGGATGGATGCTGCCGATAGCCCTCGACGGCGGCTACCTGGACTTGTCGACGATGCGCCTCGTCCTCCGGCCCACCATTGCCTGGATGTGTCGGTGGACTGGTTTCGTTACACGCATCGAGCTCTATGCGTGGACTTAATCCACCATGACCAGATCAACTTTGTCTTGCCACTGGGAGCGCAGACGATGCTGTGCCTTCTCCGCAACACCACGCTCCCGCAGACCGAAGTTGACGAATACGACGATCGGAACCCGACCCCCGCCGCGCCACCGACGGCGCAGCTGTCGTTGCCGTCGAACATATTTGCCTTTGGCCCTGTCGTCAGGTCAAAACAGCACCACATTGCTCCTCGCAACAGTCCCCAACACGATCGAGACGCCACCAAGATGGCTGCTCTTGTCGCCAACGATCTGTCGTATTACTTGTACTTGGTCGTGCGAACACTGGTGTGCCTCGTGCACGGCGCAAGAGGGCTCGAGCGTCGTCGGCTCCTGAGCGAGGGCGCTGCCCATGTTCTTGCCGTCGTTGCGGCGCCCCTGCCTCCGAATCAAGCCAACTCTGTCATGAATGGCCTTCCGGCCATCCGCCGGACGCAGCACCGCTATCCACCGCATCTCGCGCGTCTGCTGGATCTGTCATCCATCCAACGCATGGCACGCGCCGGCCTCGCGTCCATCTCGATGGTAAGTCGACCATTCGAGGCTCCATCGTCATTGTGCGCTTTCTGCGGGACAGGACGAGCTTCGCCGCGTCAGTGCGACTCCATCGTCGCAGCTCACCTCGTCGTTGGGCGAATGTCGCGCCAGTGTCGACGCTGTGATTGCCCATCGCCTTGACGCTCTGGAGCGTCATCGAGCAGACGTCCGCCGCCGGCAAGCCGCCGACGCGTGCTTCCGTAACCCCGCCAACTTGTACGAGGCGCGGCTAGGCTCTGCTACAGCTTTGGCCAGCGCGACGAAACCTCTCCACGAACGCCATCGCGGCAACCACATGACCAAGGCACAAGTGGTGCAGTGGACGCGCCGAGCTGACGCGGTGACCAGGCACCTCCTGCACAGTCTCGCGGTCCTCCACGAGGCCGCTGCAATGGAATCGCACAAGCAGTCGTCGCTCAAGCAATGGCTAGCCCAGAAGGATCAAGAGCGCATGACGGCGGCGGCAGCGGCGACCGTCGTGGCGCGCCAACGTAGAGAACTCGAACTCATGACACGCGAGGACAAGCCCCCGGAGACCGAGGTGGACCGCAGGGCTCGACTGCAAGCAAAAGCGCAGCAGTTGGCGCAATGGGAGGCCGAGACACGAATAGCCAACGCGGCGCAGGTGCGGCGTGTGCTGGAAGCCAAGGCAGAGCACCTAGCCCGGCTGGCCATGACGCACGAAGACCGGTACATTCCCCGCGCCGTCCATACCGCCCAAGAGCTCGAGGCGGCGGCTGTGGCGGCAGAGGCGGCGCGTGTCGCCGCGCTTCGTGTCCAAGTGCGTGAACGCGTCGTCCGCGAAGTTGAAGAGCGGCTGATGCGGGAAGAGGATGCGCTCGCCCGTCAAGTGCGTCGGCATCTATGGGACCAGGAGGAAGCGTCCTTCCGCCGCCAACGAGGCCAGGAAGCGGCCGAGGCCCGCCAAATGCGCCAAGAAGACGTACACATGCACAATCTGTGGCCGCTCATTGACGCAGCGGACGAAGAGCGGCAGTTCCAGGCAAAACTGGCGAAGAAAAAGGCAGACCGCGCTGCAGCTCGGCGCCAGCGTCGACTCATCGAACACCCCGAGCTGTATGCCAAGGAGTGGGAAGCGGTGGACGACGGCTCTGCGCGATACTTTCGCAACATTGTGACGGGGGACGTGCAATGGACAAATCCATGCGTGACGCCGTCATGGAATCCGGTCGTGGATGACCAAGGCCGCACGTACTACGTCCATTCAACGACAGGCGAGTCGGTGTGGACGCTGCCGACAGAGCCCCATGAACATGCATGGGACGAGTTCTATACGGACGACGGGATCGCATACTACGTCCACCGCACGACGGGTGAAAGCGTGTGGAAAATACCCGGGGAATGGTCGCCGTAGCGATGCGGAAGGCGGGGACGGAGGTAAAGGTGGACGTGGCGGAGTACCCCTCGACGGCGCGATCGTTCCCGGGAGCTGCGTTGGATGGAACCGAGGACTCCCACGGTGGTTGCAGGAATTCGACGCCGCTCCACGAATACGTTGCAGTGCACATCCGACCGCAACACTTGAAATGACGAGAACGAGTGGCGAGTGTCCATGCGGCTCGCGGGAATTCGTCCATGCTCAGCTGCGTTTGCAAACCAAGACGAGCGTCTGTCTTACCTAGACGCGTCATGCAGCACGTGCTGACACTCCCTTGTGGAGACTACCGCGAGTGTGCGCCTTGCACAGTCAAACGAGTGCTTGACTGCGTCGTGCCCATCTCTCGGCAGCCATCTGCAGTGGCGCCACCACAACTCGCGCGACCGACGCACCGCTCCACGCGACATGCCCCAATCCCCCGTACACTTGACCGTGAAACAGGCCCAACTTTTTGCCATAATTTGAAGAATATTTAATGTTCAATACAAATGATTCGTATAAGTGGTATAATATAAAAGATCAAGGTTCCGATTGGATCGACTTGTGGGCATTTCAGAGGCAACTCACCATGGCAACGCAGATCGTCCACGGCAAGCTCCTCAAGCGCGACCGGACATTCCACACGTGGAAGCTGCGGCATGTACACATGGACAAGGACAGCATTACCTGCTTCAATCACCGCGGCGCGCGACGCGGAGAGCTGTACAGACGTACCGGCACCGGTCCAGGAGGTATGTACCCACCAAGGTCACCGCTCTCGACTGTCCAGCTTACACGATGCGCCGCATTGCGATAGATGTAGGATCAGTAGATATCTCCATTCGACTCTTCGAAGCACCCAAGCCGCATGGATTTGAACTCCGCGTCCGCGACGACAAGCTGCTTTTTGCCGCGGAGACTGAAAAAGACCGCGACACGTGGGTGGACGCCCTCGTGGCGCATTGGGGGGCGTCCCTGGACCAAGCTTCCGTCAACATTTCAACTGACCGCGATCGTAATCCTGTCTTGCTGCGCTTCTCGACCGACCCCGCTCCGATGGCAGCAGGTGCACAGACCGAGGCCGACCCGATCATTGAACCAACCGTCCTCGGGCCGCTCATCGAGCCCTCGTCCACGATTCAGTTCCCTGCCGTGCTGAAAGCAACCGGCGACGTCCTCATGGGCGTCGGTCCGTTAGTCCGTCGCGTGCGGTGGACCGACGAGCCGATCATGGCGGTGGCGTTTTACATCGACTCTGCGGACGTCGGCAATTCCTTTGACGCATTCCAGGCCCGGTCGCTCCCGAGTCTGTACGACGATCCGTCCTTCTACGCCCAACTGATGGACTCTCGCTTCCGGAAGACGTTTGTCTTTAGCTGTCGAAAGCGGCTTTCCCGCAGCGGACTCATCGCCGTCCTCCACGACGAGCTGCGGCCGCGCGTCGGAGGCGCCGTCAACGAGCTCGTGGAGCTCACGACATTTATTGAAAAGTCGCTGCGCAAGGGCGAAACCATGATCTTTACCATCCATCCCGCCGCGAACGTGCTGGATTTCCACTTCAAAGGGTTCTCCCACCCGTCTCTCGCCGCGCCCGCGCTGTGCCGATGCATCCCGTCGCTCTTCTTCGATGCGAGCTCGATCCAAGCCGAGGCCAAGCAAACTCTCATCGAGCGCGTGCCGTACCTATGGGGTCACTTTCCCGCGACTCCATCCCACGCGTCGGCCGCCGCCGCCGCGGAAGTGCACGAGGCATCGGCCAAACACGAGGACGAGGACGAGGATGAGGAGGACGAAGACGACGCTGACGAGGACGGCGAAGAGGCGAGCGACGTGGAAGGGTTTACGTCGGCATTTGGCCCGCTCATCGACCCGACGTCGAGGATCGTATTTCCTGGCATCCTCCCAAGTTCGTCCGCGACGGCCATCCTGCTTGGGACGCGCATGCCCTTCACTGCCGACGGAGTGGCGTGTTCTGTCGGACTGTATGTGGACGCGGTCGCCGCCACCACCCACCTCGTGCGATTCAAGGGCCTTTCCTTCGGCAGCATCGCATCCGACCCCGACTTCTTCGTGGCGTTTACGACTGGCGCGTTTGAAAAGTGCCTTCGCTTCGTCTCGACGACGGCCGTCCCGCTCGCGTCGATGGTCGCGCTGCTGTCCACGTTGCTCCAGAACGCGCATTGTGTGCTGGAAGCGCAGGCCGTGGACGAGTTGATGCGGCCGCATGCGCAGACGCTGTTGAACGTAGGGGACGCCGTCATGGTGGCCATCCACAGCAACGGAACGTTCCATGTCTCGGTCGAGTCGGCCGGGTCGGTCATTCCTCTGACAGCCATGAAGGATGCTGCGCTGACTGTAACGCAGCAAGTCGCGGTCGGTGCGGCGATTCAGAGCGTGTTCTACGGCTACCATGCTGCTGACGTGCGGGCGCGCGCCCAACTCATGCAGCGGCTACCGGCGCTGCTCGATTTGGCCAAAGCCGACGGACGAGTGCACACATACCACGATGAAATCGTCGTGCTCAAAGAAAACTACAACCGACTGACGCCCGCGAGCCGCATCAAGGTCGGGTACTTGTGGCTGTACAACAAGCAGCGGCGAAAAGTTGTGCTGACCAAGTGGTCGCGGCGGTGGTGTCGCCTGGATGGTGTCGTGCTGTCCATCTTCTCGAACAAGAATAAAGCAGCTCGGCGGCCCAAGGAAGTCGTGGTACTGTCGCAGTGTCAAGTGCACGACCTGTCCTCGCACGAAGATATGCTGGTCGAGCTGAGGAAGCTCCATCACATTGCGTTCGTGTTGGGCATTACGCTTGTGTCGGGGAAAGTACTCGTGCTGCGAGCGGACACTGTCGCAGAAGGAACAGAGTGGCTCGAGGCCTTGACAGCGGCAAGTCGATTGCCAATCAAGCTAGCGCCGCCGTCGAGTCGCACCGCCACAACTGCTTCGTCATCTACAGAAGTGTTTGATGCGCCGGCATCTCTTGTGTTGAACAATCCCTCAGTTCGAAGAGACGGAGACGACGACGATGACGAGGACGAGGACGAGGAAAGGAAGTGGAACTCTGCTCCTGCTGCAATCGCTGCAGTGCCCATGAATGACGACGGGATGCAACGACAGGACGTCGGGTCTCTCATCCTGTGGCTAAAAGAAGACCCGCGCAACCAGATCCTGCTCGCGCTCCTCAGTCTGCTCGTGTGGGCTCTCGCGCCACCCGACTCGGCACCCTTGTTCGAGTGAACATGCGCACCCATGATTTCGAACAGCAGACAATGATTGGCTTAAATCACGTATTTATGTCCAATCAAATGTTATGATCCCACGCCATAAAATAAGAGCGGCACCGACAGCCCAACAGCAGCCCTCGTCATTGGAGGCGGGGTGCTCTCTGTGGAGCCCTTCACGCGTAATCGAACGGTGCTCTGCGGAGGAGTGTTATGTGGGATGAAGTTGAATCCGTGGAGAGACTTGAAGGCCCTGTTCCCACAGAACAAGACGTGTTGATGAGCCCAAGATATCGACGAAACAATGTGATGAGTTGCACGAATATTTCGTAAAAAAGAGTGAATTCAGTAGTTAAATTGGGAAATATTTCTCCTTTTGGCACGAGAGCGCGAATTGATGGCAAAGATTTGCATTGTCAAAAATTCCACGAGACGACCATGGCGACCGCACATGTCGAGCGCGACCGAACGCTGTCTCAGCTTTCCATCCACGAAGAAGAAGACACTGACCACGACAAAGTCGATGCGTTGGATACGGTGCGTGCACATCGTCGGTGAGGAAGAGGATTGAGCCGACGAAATGTGATGTGTACGTCTAGCATCACGAGGATCATCAAAAGCACGCGTACTTGCAGTCCATCTACAACAAGGCGAAGGAGAGAAAGATGTCGCTCGTAGATGAGAATGACAATGATGGAGAACCCGATGATGGTATGTGTATGACTCGGATGACATGACAATGACAATGGAATGTCGAAGACCTGAGCCACTTCTTCGAACGCATTCCCGAGCCATACTTGGACCAACGAACCTTTCAGCGCATCAGCTTTAGCGCAGGTGGCGATGAAATCGACCCGGAAGCGGCAGAAGTGTGTGAAGGCATCTTGAAGTGCTTGGCGTTGCGAGACAAGTGGATCAAACACAGCAACGCCATTGTGATTCCAGACGAGGACTCGGTCGAGTACACCACTCCGCTCACGCCTGGACGAAGCAAGTTCCGCCACCGCGACGACATTCCTTACGATATTTTCAGCACAAAGGTACGTTTCCACCAAAACACACTTCCATCGTCATCCGCACGATGTAGGCTCCAAGTGGCACCGACCACCGCATCGAAATCCACGATGGCGTCATTGTCGCGTACCCTAACGAGTCTACCGACCCGATTTTGAAACCATCGTCGCAGGATGAGTTCTACGAAGACTGGTTCGAAGTGAAGCGCATCATAAACTCTGGACCTGTCAAGGTGATGCGGACAGAATCTCCCAGCATCGGTTCTGACCTTCGTTCATCGGCGCAGACATTTGCGTTCAAAAGACTCAAGCTGCTAGAGTCGCGGTTCAACCTGCACGTCCTGTTGAACGGCGACCGTGAACTGGTGTCGCAGAAAGCCGTGCCGCATCGCGACTTCTACAACATTCGTAAAGTTGACACGCACATTCACCACTCGGCGTGCATGAATCAAAAGCACTTGCTTCGGTACGAACAATGGCTCGCGCGGACACTCACCGAAACGATGGCGGCAGGTTCATCAAGTCGAAACTGAAGAACAACCCTGGGGAAATCGTGATCTTTCGCGATGGTCGCTTCATGACGTTGAGCGAGGTGTTTCGGTCCCTCAACTTGACCGCGTACGACTTGAGCGTCGACACACTGGACATGCACGCGTCCAATACGTTCCATCGCTTCGACCGGTTCAACCTCAAGTACAACCCTGCGGGGCAGAGTCGGTTGCGCGAGATCTTCCTGAAGACAGACAACCTCATCGCAGGACGGTACGTCTTTCTTTGACAAGCGTCGACCCACCCTCCCATGCGCCAATCCATGCAAGGTACCTCGCCGACATCACGAAGGAAGTGATGAGCGACCTGCAGCAGTCCAAGTACCAGCTCGTCGAGTGGCGCCTGTCCATTTACGGCCGGAAGCATTCAGAATGGGACAAGCTCGCGCGCTGGTTCTACGTGAACCGCCTCGCGTCGCCGCATGTGCGGTGGATGATCCAGATCCCGCGCCTCTTCTTCCTCTACAAAAAGTACGACCTCGTTGTACGATATCCGGATAATGATATCCGGTTCACCCCAGGGCCGGCGACGTGGACAATTTCGAGCACATGATCCAAAATATTTTTTTACCGCTCTTCGAGGTGACGAAGGACCCGAGCTCGAACCCGCAGCTCCACACGTTCCTCCAAGCGGTGATTGGGTTCGACTGCGTCGATGACGAGAGCAAAACGGACCCGATGCGTGCCGAACGAGGCAAGCCATTGCCACGTCCCGCGGACTGGACGAACGAGTCGAACCCGCCGTACGATTACTGGTGCTACTACTTGTACGCGAACCTCGCAACGCTGAACGCGTTCCGTCGGTCCAAAGGCTTCTCGACATTTACGTTTCGACCGCATGCGGGCGAAGCCGGTGACACGGACCACTTGGCCGCAACGTTCTTGTGTGCGAATGCGGTACGGATTCATGTGTCGTTGGTGGTCTCGATGGATGTGCCTGTAGATTAACCACGGGATTACACTGCGCAAGTCCGCGGCGCTGCAATACTTGTACTACTTGGCCCAGATCGGGATCGCCATGTCACCGCTCTCCAACAACAAACTGTTCCTCGACTTTTACCGAAACCCGTTCCCGCAGTATTTTGCACGTGGTAGGTCGGTGTCGTCCACGGTTGTGATGCTCACTCGCTGCCACTTCAAGGGCTGAACGTGTCCTTGAGTACAGACGATCCATTGATGCTTCATTACACCAAGGATCCGCTGTTGGAAGAATACTCGGTCGCGGCGCAGGTCTGGAAGCTTTCTGGGACCGACATTTGCGAAATCGCGCGCAATTCGGTGCTGCAGTCCGGCTTCGAGCACCCGTTCAAACAGCACTTCCTCGGGAAGAAGTACTATCTGCCGGGTGCTGCTGGCAACGACATTCGCATGTCCAACGTCCCGAACATCCGCTTGGACTACCGCCACGAGACCCTCACCAGCGAGCTCGCGTACCTCCAGCATGCTCATGGATGACAACGCCGCACATGGTTGAAGCAACTTGCTAAAAAAGACAACGAGTAAAATGTATAACGCGTTTATAACCCCGATACCCCTGTATATCACCCGTATATACGTGGATGAATCGACCAGAGAATTGTACATGACGTTGCGTTTAATATTTAACGCGTTAGAAAAACGTAGTTGACATCGGGGGAAACACCACCTCTTGCTTGGAGAAGCGGCCGCCCGCGATCTTTTTGGTGACGATGGTGCAGCGCTTCGCCGAGGATGGCGGCTTCTGCGATGGCGAAAGAGGCGACGGTATTGACGGAGGTGTGACATCTTGGGAGTTGGGTGGAGACGTTCGCTGTCTCCTCTGGTCGCGCTTTGCGTCGTGGAACGCTGGACTGGCCACTCGAGATGCGCGTGAAAAGTGCCGAAGCTAAAAGGTTGTCACCATGGATGGATTTGTGCCGAAGATCACCTCATCCTGCTGTTGCCGCTTTAGATTGACGACTTTCGTGGTCTTTGACGTCGTGGATGGCCGAATAGTCAACACGCGGTTCATTTCGTTGGGGAGATAGCGTAAGATGGCAGCGTCCGCATCGACGCTTGTTCCTGAAATGAAAGATCACGCACGTAGTCCCTGCACATGACCAAACCTGCACGATGTTGAATGACGAGACTTGCAGAATGTGCATGGCGGGTTGTGGAGTGTGCCAATAGAACATGCCTTGTATCGTCGATCTTCTTGAGGTCTTTGAGGGAATTGGATGCAATGAACTAGACAGGGCATCATGTTTTTCTGGCCCGGACGCATCACGGACAAACCTGTGCACAGAACACGCAGACCTGGACGACCTGCATCTGCTGAATGGCTTCAGGGTCATTAAGAAGATCGGAGAATTGCTGAAGGCCTTCGTGAATCGCAGCATTGCCTTGCCAACGTTCGCGGAACAGTTTTCGCGCGAGCCAGATTTCCTGGAGCAGCATGATATCACCAGCACACGGACCACTCGCACGTACATTTCCAGTTGCCGGCTCGACGCCAGATGCATACATGTGCTGGCATAGGGAACAGAGATCCCTACATCCATTCGCCGTGAGTGCGACGCCGACTGTCTTGCCGCATCCCACTCACCGGCGCGGCATTGCCGGCAAGGTAAAAAAAGATCAACCAATCAAATCGATTTCTCAAGAACCCAACCAATCACAGTACTCTTCCGAAACAGCCAATCGCGTTGTCGCATGGTTGACAGTTCGAGATTGTGAGGGCTAGTCAGCTTCCATCACGCGAGACGCCGTTGAGGCAGCGCATGGATTCTGTCATTTGGCATCGAAGATGACATCGCGCAAGTGGACTCAAGAAGAAGTACGAGCAGCCGAGGGTCTCAGTCCCCGTTCTCATGACCCCTGTAGGACGAGAAGCTTCGCGCGGCGGTGTTGAAGGTCGGCGCGCGTCGATGGCGTGTGGTCGCGACCCAATACTTTCCCCATCGCTCCCAGCAGGACTGTTGCAATCGGTGGCACGAACTGCAAGCATGCACATCGATGCATAAGCGACCGTGGCTCGCGTTCGAGGATGACATCCTTGTGAAGACTGTGGCCAGGTACGGCCCGAAACGGTGGGGCTTAATTGCATCGTACATTGCCGGGCGAAATGGCAAGCAGTGCCGCGAGCGGTAGGAAGGGGACATGGCGAATAGATGGTGAAATGCGGCATAGGTGGCACAATCATTTGAACCCGTCGATCAAGAAAGGACCGTGGGAGCCCCACGAAGATGCCAAACTGATTGAACTCCAAGCCAAGTATGGGAATCGGTGGGCGCTCATCACAAAGGCGCTTCCTGGACGGTACAATGGCTTTAATTTCTTGGTTGACACGTGCTGCATGTAGCACGGACAACGCTGTGAAGAACCACTGGCATGCCAACCTCAAGGTACTGGTGACCATGGTGCAATTCTGACCTGATTGGCGCGTAGCCGGCAGACCCCGTGCTATCCCCTTCCAAGCCAATTCAACAATGTCGAACTCAGTCATCAGCACCCCCTCTCTTGGCGACATCACATCTGCCTCTGAGACTCAAGATTGAACCGCTACGCAAGCGAAAACCGCCGCCCCCATTGGCTTCCGCACCGCCAGCGACGGAAGTCGTCGACGAATTTGCATGGGTATCTGACGAATGGTCTTCGATGGACTTGTCTGTGTGGGACGACATGGTCATCCAAGTGTCGGATGTGCTTTGACTCAGCGAGGTTTATGGACAATTATAATGGTAGAGCAAAACGATTAATTTTTGATTGGGCACAGCATGAATTGGATAAACATGCGACAACCCTATATCCGCGAAAATTAGGTTTTTTTTCACTTTTTTCACCGAGGAGGGCATTTTTCAGAGACGGAAATTGCTGCAAAACGATTAATTTTTTTATTGGGCAAAGGATGCAATTGGATGAAATGCCATGGGGCACGACAAGCCAATACAGTGCGCGCCACATGGATAGAAACAGAGCACTTTGATTGATTTTTGCG